TTCTCGCTATTAACCAACGAGTCCTGTTTAATTACATTTTTTTATCTGCTGAACAGCTTTTTTAACACAATTACAAAATTTAAAAAACATTATGAAAAAAAAAATAAAAGAAAAAAAAAGGATTTCCGGTTTCTAAGAACTTGCGTTTCCGGCACGTGGGTTAGGAAAATAAGCACAATTTATATTTTTAAAATGGAAAATTATTAAAGGGAAAAATCGTGAGAGATCAATCACAACGTAAAATTTAACAATGAATAAATAGAGAATAAAAAAAAATGAAAAAGCTGTCCAAAACGAACCAAGATTTCATGTCTGAACTCGGATTTTTCCATTTTATTTTTAATTGACCAGTCCAGTACTGTTTGAAGTAACCCCCGCCACCGCCAAATTTTCAGTTCAGTGGTGATTTATCTCGCTCATCTTTATTGACTTAGGTAATAATGCAAGTGGCTAAAAATAGTTTCTTCTTAAAGCCTCCTAGAAAAAAAACAAAAGCGGAAAAACTACACCAATTAAGAAGTAAAAATTAAGGAATTAGTGCCATTCTTGTTTCTGGTAGTAAAATAAGTCTTCTCTCACTATTCTTCTTCAAAGGAATGTTGACAGGTAAAAAAATTAATGTAAATAAATGTACAAAAGACAACAACAACAAAAAAGAAAATCAACCCAACAAAGACGTAGAGAAGTATAGAAAACAAAAGAAAACAAGTAAAAAAAAAAAAAAAATCCGTTACCGCCAGTTATAATTTAAGTCTTCACTGTTGAAAAGATTATTTGAAGGGTCTTCAGAAAGTCATTAGAGAATAATATGATTGTCAGTTGACGATTAAAAATTCCTAGTTTGTCGCTCAGAAAAAAGTTAATGCGAAGTATTCGTGACGAGATTCGAAGTAATCAAATTTTTAAAACGATCGGATAATTAAAAGAACTGCTGAAGTAGTAAGGTAAAAGAATAATTTCTCGAGCTACCACCAATATTATTTCTTTCAATTTGCTGAAAGAATTCGCCATCAATGATGCAGAGACGATGATCAAATAAGCGATAACAATCGAACTTCAGTTCCTGTTCGATTTTTTAACAAAGAGAGAGAAACAAAAATGATGTGTATTCGAATGCTTTTTTTTACTATTAAAAAAAAAAATAATAAATTGATCGATAAAAAAAACTTTTACAACTTTTATTTTAAAATTTAAATTAAAACAGAAAAAATATTTCAAATTTAAAGTTTAATTTTTTTAACCGAAAAATATTCTCATTACAACAAAAATCAGATCTTTTTTATAGAAATAAAACAATTTTTCTTAATTGGGACGTTTCAACAGCGTCAGAGGTTACAAATTGAAAAGAGAAGTGTATGGAGAAAAATAAAGGCAAGTGGTTCTTTATTCTTTAGGAAATAATGGAAAACAAAAAGAAATTGTTTAAATTTAGTGTAGTGTCCCAAAATCTGTGTACAAATTTGATTTTTACCTGGATCTGGACATTTTATGAGACACCTTTTTAAAAGGTTTATACGCACGTGCTGACGAATTAAAAAAAAAAAAAAAAAAAAAAAAGGAAAGCCTGACCGTTTCCTAAGTATAGAACCATAACGAGCCAACAGAGAAAAGTCTACCTCCAAGAAATCCCGCTAAAATACCATCGTGAAAATGATTTACAATACGAAGAAAAAAAATAGAACAATGGGGGGGGGGAGCAGTTTTCAACGCCATTAGTGTGTGACTGTGTGTGATCTTTACTAAAAAAAAAGACAATTTTCTTTCATTCGACATCTTTAAAATATAATTCCTTGTAAAAAGCTTTTCTTTTCCCTTGCATGGAAGTGTGGGCAAAAAATATTTCGTGTTGTTACATTTCAAGAAAAACAAAAAGGAAGTCGGATGCAGTAGAAAAAAAATGAGGAGGAAAGAAAAGGGACCATTTCAAATCAAATGTAAAAACCGAAGTTATTGTTTTGTTTTTTTCCCGGATACATTGAAAGAGGAAAAGAAAAAGAGAGAGAGAAAAAATTCGTCACTGTTTTACAAAAGGAGAAACATTAATTATCAAGTTCGTCGTAACAAAAATTGAATTTTCTAGAAACGATGTCGAAGAAGATGCTTTTAAAAAGGAAGAGATGCGAATGAAAATAGGAAAATAAAAAGATGAAAGAAAAAGAGACCATAAAGAAACTAAACTCAAAATGTAATGATTAGAAAAGTAACGCCCGTCTGATAAGATGAAAGAGAGCATCATATTGTGTACGAAAGTTTAATATTTTTTTTTTTTTTTTTTTTTAAAAAAAAAAAAAAAAAAGAGAAATAAACGTCCTCTCTTTCTCTAACTTGAAATGCAGACAATGAAGAAAAAGGTGCGATTTATTAACGACACCACGATGGCTACTACAAAGAAAACTTTTTTTTTTTACTTTGTATTTCTTACACACATCAATAATATACTAAACATTGATTTATAATACTGTATGATTTTAGTATAGGATTCTGTGAATACTTTTTTTTAAAAAGTTTAAAATTCTGTAATACTAGTAAACAAAAATGTCATATGACCAAGAAGTGAGTGGTCAGTATGAATCTTTTCCGATATTAGAAACTGATCCCTCATTTTTGGACCAGCTACTTTAGAAGAGCCAGAGAACAGAAAATTTATTAATAACTATGATCCTCAAGTTTTCAAAAGACAAAACATAATGTAATGTGAACTATCATATTATGAAATAAAGTATTAACTTACCTATCGTCTTGGTTAATAATTAATACCAAATGTAACGCGGAGTAATTATTTTTTTACACTTGTCGTTAACAATTCTTGCATAATGTGTATGGGTTTCATTTCTGCCAGATACCTTTTGTAACAACCGATTTGATTGGTCCATTCACTTTTTTTCCGTAAAGAACGAGGTATATTGACTAATTGTGGTAAACAAAATTTCAAATAGGCGGGAAGGAAAAAAATTTTTTTTTGTACACACAAAATAAGAAATTCATTTTTAAGCAAGTAAATTTATGCTCACATATTTCCTCAAGCAATTGCAAAGATAAAAGGATTTTAACGATTCAATCAACGTCACACACAAGCTGTACAATCAGCCAATCAAAAAAGGGATACTAAAATTCCCCGGATGTAGTTTTAGAATTATGGTACAGGTAAGGCACTGCAAAAATAATCTCATGAAAAATGAAAAAAAATTAAAATTTTAATGATTAGGAAAAGTTTAAAAGATTCTTAATAGTTTAAAATAGAAAATAATTTTTGTAACTTTAATATGCATAATGCCAGCATCAGTTTTTATAAAATAAATATAGTTTTAATGGATTATAAATGATATTGTAATTGCAAATGCTGAATTATATCCACATACACAAATATATATATATATATATATATATATATATATATATATATATATATATATATATTCATTTGTATGGATATGAGTTTGTGACCCTGGGTTTCACGTATTTGCAATCATCAGAGAAACAAATTTTTAAAAAATAAATCTAGTTTGTCTGATGGTCACAAAACCGTGAACCCAGGGTCACAAACTCATATCCATACAACAATATGTTAGTTCTATCACTGATATTGAGTCCTTTCCAATAAGTACTGTGCATATAAAATAATATAAAAATATATATATATATATATATATATATATATATATATATATATATATATATATATAAAAAAAAGAGTGTTTATCTAGGTAGTAACACTGATTATTACCAATAAAATGAATTTGATCCACACTATGCTCTCTACACATGGAGCATTATGCAAGACTAAACTAAGATTCATATTATTCTTTTTTGGAAAATGGTGTTCACCCTATATAAGGTTCAAGAGCTACTTGAGGTACAGGGATAGAGAGTAAAAAGTACAGTTTATGAGGATATGTGGGGAAGATAACAGTTGATGCTATACAGGTTGAGATTGTAGTGATTGGGGAAGCATTCTCTTGGGAGTTGGTTCCATAAAGTAGTGGTTTGTGGGAAGAAACTGCTTGAGTGGAATTTACATCTCGCCAATGGAATACAAAGCGGATGAGGGTAGTTTACTACAATGTAACTAGTATGTAAATTACTAGTGTGTTTACTAATGTGTAAATTACTCTTTTGAGTAGTGTCTAACACATCTATTTATCATCTCTCAGTTGCGTCTCTGTCTTTGGGCAGAATGCACTCAGAGGCGACTCTGTCAAAGGACAGAGTTGCAACTGAGGAAAATTATACTAAGATGTGCCCAGCCCTGGGGAACAGCTGTCCTAGGCCATGCCCTTTCATTGCACCAGAGAGAGGGATCGGTGCTCACACTGGGGCTAGTGCAACCAACGGTTGTGGGGGCTGCAGGCAATTTTTGTTCCTTGCCCAGGTGTATGTACTCGGGTTCCCCATCATAAAAAATGATCTTGTGTCACAACTTGTCTTAGTGGGGAGACAGAGTAAATACCTAGTTTACTCCAATGTTCAATATCTGGCAGGTCTTAGCCATGAAGGTTAGAACTGGTAGAACTAAGAAATGTAATTCGTCTGAACACCTTCCATCGAAATAGCAATAGAGCAGTATCTGCCCATATATGACAGTAGTACTCCATTTTCAGTCTGATCTGACTCTTGTAAAAGTAAAGGATAGCAGGTACTTACTGGAGCAGTACAGGGAACCAACCATTTTTCCAGCATTAGTGATGGATTGTATTTACATGTTCCATTGAGGTCTGGGTAATTGATTGATTCATTCATTATATATAGCTTATCAACACTTTAAAGGCTATTTAAAGCCAGACAATATTTTTAGATTGAAAGAATTTTTCTTTTGAGATAATAATAGTTTAGTGATACAAGTCTTAATAATTAACCTATAGTTGGAGGAGAAGAGGTGAATTCGTAACTATCCCAAGGGTATTTATGCATAAGCAAATATAATGAACACAACTGGAATTGGAACTCAGCTCTTCGATTTCCAATTCTGAGACATTATCCAATACATTACCTGCATATCCAAGCTTACAGTGCTTGGTATTCCCAAGTGGTCACCCATCTAAGTACTAATCAGGCTCTACATTGCTTAACTTTAGTGATCGTACAAGAACCAGTGTATTAACATGATATGGCTATAAGCATTTGAGGTCTGGGATCAGTTTAAGTCCCAATAGGCACTTAAGGCACAGAACCTCCCTGCAAATGTTCAGAATTATAAAAAAACAGTTGAAATTTCTGGGACACATAATGAGGAAAGAAGACTTGGAAAATTTGACACTATCAAAAGACATATCAAGGACAAGAAGGATAGAGAGAAACAACAAATAACCTACTTAACAAGCTTGTGTAAATGGATGGAAGAATTGGAAATGAGAGGGATAGTAAAACAACAAACATTGCAAAGAGCTACAAAAGATAAAAAAATTATAGAGAACCATGATTGCTCATATCTTGAAGAAGAATTTCACTGTATAATAATCAATCTGATTGATAATAATTAATCTTAATTAATTCTCACCATTGATTTAAGAACATTGACAAGGAAGGAGATTGTGTTAAAAAATATTTGTGTAAATAAATACATTTTTCAAAATTATCAACATACCTATTAGTGGAAATTTTATTCCTTAACAGTAAAATGATTAGGATATCAAAGTGATTAGGATATCTAAATGATTAAGATTATCAAGTGTTGCCCAAGAACATCCCGTAATATTATATTATGGGATGTTCTTAGGCAACACTTTAAGAGTAAATACCAACAAAACATTTTGCTTTTGAATCAACTTTATTAAAAAACCTTATCACTTTAAAGTTAATATAAAACTAATGGATTACCAAACAAGAGGATGGATGAGCCATGTATAATATGGCACAGCATAAAATGTTTGTTCAGTTTATTAAACAGAAATAAGACATTTTTTTTTTTTAGATGTGCTTCATTCTTTAGTTCTACTAGTTCCGACCTTTACAGCTAGGACATCCCATGATATTTTCACAGAGTTGAATCACATTTGTTTCCTCTGCATTTCACATATAAAAAGTTCCATCCATACAGCTTTTTTCAAAGAACTGCTATTTTGTGCAATAAACTCCCCATGGATGCTTCCTGAGTACTGCAATCTTAACTTCTTCAAGTCAAGGATCAATTGTTATCTATCCTCCTTATCTTCATAATTTTCACTTCCTACCACATCCTCATTCACTCATATCACACATCTCATTCATCATGAATAACTCTCTATCTTGAGTAGCTCTAGAGCCTTGTATTGGGTGAAATTTAGTGTAAAAAAAATAGAAAATTTTGGACATTAACATATTCATCATTTTGTCCCAATATTTTCTGCTCTCTTACAGATGTTGTTACTTGGTTAGGGATCATCATTTCAAGCCGAGAAAGCATTGGTGTTGACAAACAGAAACTAAACGTGTTAAATTGATTGAGAAAATAGACAGATAAAAGGGTGAAACAAAACAAGATAGAAATCTTTATTCTATCAGGGACATTTTCATGTAGAGAAAATTTTAAGGAATGTTCTTGAAAGAAAGTGTGAATTTCAAGAATGTCTCTGTAAAAAATAAATTCTCTGTTGGTGAATTGTGAGTGATGTGTATAGTCTAATACATGTATAGAGCACTAATTTTAGTTTCCTACTCTGATCTTGAAGTGAAAAAGAACTAGTCTCTTGGAATTTACAGCACACATGCTTCCAACTTTTCTACACTTACCCAAAAGCTGAAAAGAATTTACTGCCACTGATAGAGTTAGTAACATATGTTTGTAATGTGTGTTTGTAACGTATGTTTGTTCAACAAAAAGTTTTAACATTTGCTGTGCAAGTAAATTCATAATTCTACACCCCCAGAGAACTTTATCTTTCACAGCAAAGAACTACTTTTAGTGCATTGGACAGTCTTCCAGGAGATCAAAGTTTGTATTTTTATTAAAACAGTCCTGTAAAAACATGAATAAACAGTAATATCTGATGAATACAGTGAGTGAAAACTTCTTAATTAATTTGTGAGTTTCTAAATAGTCAAAAAAGAAACATACAATCTTGTGCAAACCTGATGAAATGTTTTACCTTTTTTCTTAATTTGTAGTGAGAGAAAAATAAATAAAAATATAATAACAAGGATACCAAAATTTCACCACCTGTAAAAATATTCAGAATTGCTAGGCCATATTTCAACCAATCAATCAGACTAGGATACATAGTATAGCCAGTATCTCAAAGAAGATCAGTTCCTAACCAGGATATAAGATATGATTGTGGGGCAGCAGTTTCAAAGCGAATCTCTCTCTCTCTTGGTTATACTGAAAGTGGCTCTGTAGGTATAAAAGTACACATCACTAAATATATATATATATATATATATATAATAATCGGCTCTCCCGTCGAGATTCGACGTATGAGGGTCAAGCAGATCAGTTTCCAGGAAACCGACAGCCCAACACCGGCACATGAGATTTGATTATAGTGGTGAAGGTTTCGTGCAGGACCATCCACACTTTTTGAAGGGACAAATACAGAGACCTGGTGCACCGAATGCCACAAAGTTCCCAAACGATCCTATGCAGGTTTTGAATCCAGAGTTGTCCTTCTCCTAGACCAGTTGCCATCCAAGGCTATAGAACCCAGTCTGTCCTGCTATTTTACCCATAGCTGGAGGGAGAGGAAGAGGATTCATACCTTTCCCAAGGGTATTAGCACGTAAGTGAATGTAATGGATTCGACTGGAATTCGAACTCAGCTCTGCGATTCCTCAATCCAAGCTGCTATCCATTACTCCACCGTGCCTATATATAATGAGATGGAAAGTCAACCTAAATCAGATTCAATGAATTAATTTTATTAATTCTATCATGCTGCGATCATTGTGACATACCCAGAGCTGAAATATGGCACATGTGCAACCCACACAGTCTTACATAGAGCCATACAATGCCTACTTTCTTTGACCACCCACTGACAACCTTAGACGTCCACACAATCCAGCATTGACACTAAAACACACATACTCCCTTACTCATATTTTAAGCAAGGCAACTGCTACATTTGAATACATACACACATAGAATACAGATTGCTCTCTGTATGCATTAAGGGATTTCATTTCAAAAAAAAAAACTCCAACCTATCAACTGTATCCTTCTGTATATATATATATATATATATATATATATATATATATATTGTGTTACATAAGAATTTATTTTGTATACAGGGGATGTGTAAGTAGGTATACAATAATGAAAAATAAAACATGCACACAAAACATATTGAATTAATTATAAAATCATATCAATAATAAACATATCAAAAATATACATATCAATAATAAACATATCAAGAATAAACATATCAAGAATAAACATATCAATAATAAACATAGCAATCCCTCAAATATTCAAACTATTTGCCACTATATAAAATTTACTATTTTTTATCCATAATGTTGAATTTTTTAAATTATTCAACTTTTATAAAAATCTCAAGTTGATGTTAAAAATTGCCACAAAACATTATTGATTTATTTAAGATGAAGTGATCTATTATGAAATATTTCTAATTTGTATTTAGATGCAGTGTATTTATTTTCAATTTGAATTGAATTGTTCACCTATATTGCATATGATTCATTATTGTACATAATTAGGTGAGTATAAAATTTGTATTTTATATGAATATGACCTTATGAAAATTGAGAGTGGGGGTCCATATCATAGATTCTGGGGCGTGGAGCCCTATCATAGATTTGGGAGTCAGGAACATGATTCTTGCACTCGCCCTGCTTACATGATAAAGTTTAGTTCTGTGTCAATCTAAACAGTTCAGACCCCAGGTAAAAGTGATAAAGACCATAGTATTTTTTTTTTTTTTCTGCTTTTAAAAGCTTAAAGTAAATTAAAGAAATACTGACATTACTTAAATTGACTAACCCACTTGTAAAAAGTACAGAAAAATTTGGTTGGGATAATTTTTATAGTATGACATTCATTAGACCTTCATTTACTGACATTTGTCAGAACTGAAAAATATTAATTTTTATCATGTGGGAAAATTAAATGAAATAATAATGAATGCACTATTTACATTGTGTGGACTATCATCCTCATCTTTGTTGCTATATTTATCACAACGTTTCAGCCATTGTACACTCCAGTCTTCTTCAGGTGGTTGGAATGTCAAACTGAACCCTTTATTTCGCTTTTTGAGATTGTTCTAGTTCCACATGCCATGTTTAATAGATGTCAGTTATCTCCTGTTAATTTCCCTCTGAAAGTTCTCCACTGCCTTAGCCAGGTATTGAACTGTCACTGAATCTAACTAACACCTTTATCCACTGTGCCATGTGTCCTTGAGGACATCTGTGTATGAATTTCTGGGTATTATAAACCTAATGTCTTCAGCAACGTTTTTTACCAGTGCTCATATTTCAATTTTTGCTGTTATCATTGCATGTTTTTACCAGAGCTCATATTGCAATTTTTGTTGTTGTTATCATTTTTCTCTGGCACTCCTTATTACTGGTTCCCATATTGTATTCAATTCTATGCTTGGTTGGCTCAGGAGATTTTTGTGGCCTAGCATATATGCTGATTCCTTAAGTTTATGAATTTTCCAGTGGTGTTATTTGTCTACAATTTCAACCTGACCCCAAGGAGGGTGGTGATTTCCCTTTTCTCTCCATATGTTGTCAGCAATGCCTGTTTTTTCCACTTCCCCTTGTGTTACAGATTTTTGATGTTCTTGAAGCCTTACCTTAAGGGAGCAGCTTGTCTCCCCTTTATATTTCTTTCTGCAACTGTATGGGATGGTGTAGACACAGTCTTTAGTCATATTCTCCTCTATGTGGTGGGGGTTTACTTGGGAGAGGTATCTGTGAAGTGTTATCCAGCTTTTGAAGGTTGTCCTGATGTAACATGGGGAAGGAAAAAATTTGTGGCTGACTACATATGGAGAGAAAAGGGAAATACATCCCTCTGTGGGAATTTTCGACATTAAAATTACCATGTACAACGGCCGAAACGTTGTGATAAAATATAAACAAAGATGAGGATGATAGTCCAAACAATGTAAATAGTGTACATAATACCTCATCTCAGAAATATAGACAGATACTGAATAA